GGAGCGCCAGAGTGTCATCCAGTTCAGCGGCCCCCTCTCCAACCTCTACGATGCCAGCTGAGTTGGGGGGAACAGGGGGTTCTGTTCATCAGGCTGGGCCACTTTGGAGGCCGTGTTGTGTTTTTATACTGGGTTGGAACGGACCACTTCTGTCTTTTTAAAGGGGTGGGTGGAGAGAACTCTAGTTAACAGAAACAAAGTTTATTTATATATAATATACAGTCAAACCTGTACTAATTTTTTTATATGTCTATAGAGAGAGAGATGTACAAAGTGGAGTTGTGGAAGAGGATAAGTGGAAGTGGGGGGCAGTGATGCCTAAATACTGAGGGAATCGGGCACTTTAGAGAAATGGCCAGCTTCCCCATCTACCTGCTGCTTCTCAGTACCCAAGCTTGTCTTTCTGTGCTCCCCAACAAAAACTACTGAGTTTGGAAAGTAGTTGAGGATCGTAGAACGAGTGAATATATACATTTTGAATATATACTCATTCTACTTGGTTTGTCAAAAGAAGGTCCAATTCAAGTGACAGCCCAAAGAAAAAAACCTTCCCAGTGTCCCTGGTTTTATTTTTTGCACATATGGAGAATGCTGCACAATCAGTTATCTGTAGGTTCCCGGCTACTGGCCTGGCGGGGCAGGGGGGCGGCTGAAATTTTCTGATTCTCACAGAGAGAAAGCAAGCTTTGTATGAGCCATGAATTCTGGGAGGGGCAAAGTTTTCTAAACCAAATCTTCAGGAGCTCAAGACACAATGGAGTTTCTTCTCACCCCTTCCAGGCAGTGCCGGAAGGAGCATTGAAATCATGCGCCCCTTTCTGCAGCGATACGGTTTAGGCTTCAGGGGCAGGGCTCGAGAATGTGCGTTTGTGCATTTTAAGGAAAGCCCTCTATGTAGCCCCTTTTTAAAATGTTGGTTTTTACTAAAAGGGAGTGGTAGGGCTGCAAGAATCTGAGAGCTTAGCACTGAGTGCTTAAAGGAAAGAGGATTCAGTTACTGTTTTAATAAGCCAAACATGAGAAGGCAAATATTAGCCAGAAAAAGGGGGTGAAAACTTTGGGCTGCAAAGTGTTCCGGAATTCAGCTCTCTGAAGTCAAATATTTCTGTTTTCCTTCTAGTTATACTGTTCCCCCCTGCCCTGGTAATGTTCAGGAAAATGCGAGCTGATGTTTCTACTCCACCCCCACCTCTTGAGCATTTGTGGAAAGACGGAGATTTTGTCAGGGCACCGTCTGAGTTTAATTGCTTTTGATAAACGGCAGGTTAAAGTGCTTTGATTCTTAATCTCCAACGCTTTGCTCTTGAACCTTTCTATTTTTTACCCTTTCCCTTTTCCGAGTTGCTCAGGACGGCAGGCTGAGTTTCCTTGCTTTCAAATTCAGCCTGTGAAGGGAGGGAGGCAGAGATGTGGCCAGTTTAGGGTTGCCCAGTAAGCTTTATGGCTCAGCCCGCTTTCTCCCCAGTTAAAAGTTCAGGGTGTAGTATTGCGGAACTTGATGGCTCCAAAGAGGTTGCTTTTGTCCTTTACAAAATATTTTTCAAAAGCAGATTTCAATCCCTTCTAGAATGCACATACATAATGTTGAAATCCCTCTTGTCTTTGGCATGAAACCTGATTGTACCAGTGTCCGTTCCTCAGCATCCCTTTCCCTTGCTGCAGCTGCTAAGGCTCGGGGCTCTCCTTCCCCAGCTTGATGGCCTCCCCCAGATGTGTTGGCACTTCCACAGCAAAAAAGCACACCAGGTGGGAATTTAAGAAGTCACCGTTCTGACACCACTGGCAGGCTACCCTCAAATCTCAAGAACTCCCCTGTCTGTTCTGCTGCAAATATCTTCCCGTTTTGACTCATAGCTGCTGTTGCCAGGCCAAATTCTCTATGATCCAGGGCATTAAAGCTTCATCCCAACTTCCCAAGCCATTGGATATTGTCCCAAACTCCTCCTTGGGATGCCGATGGTTCCAGATGTTCCCCACCATCCCCGAGATTGGCATAAATCTGCCACAGAAGGAAGACTGTGTTGAGCTGGGGGCAAACTACACATACATTTCACTATTAGGGGGCGGGAGGGCTCAAATGTGAATTTCAGCAGGCGTTTAGCTGGGTCTCAGCCAAGACAGTATTTGCAGAGAAACCTCTAGAGCAGTGTTTCCCAACCTTGGCAACTTTAAGATGCGTGGACTTCAACTCCCAGAAGTCTGGTTGGGGAATTCTGGGAGTTGAAGTCCACACATCTTAAAGTTGCCAAGGTTGAGAAACACTGCTCTAGATGGTTTCAACTCTGTCCTAAAAAAGGATGCCTTATATAAGAAAGCAAGCAAGCTTGTTCTCAGATAGCCCCTGCTATTTGGGTCTTTTATATGTTCTTAAAAACTAGTTAAATTTTTTAAACTACCTAGCATGGCGGTTATCAAATACGTAGAATGGTAAACTCACTGGCGTTTCTTCCCATGAAGCTGGACGCCTTTGTACAGTTTTCCCCCGTATCACTAACCACAGGTTGCCGGTACAACTGTGTGAGGGATGCCAATTCTATATAACCGAGCATTGGGAATGGGAATATATATCCTGACAACCCAATCTTTTCCCACTCATCCTGCCCCAACCCACAAGGATTTAGACCTTTGTTGCTAGCTTTCAGGTCCTTATGACTTATTTTCACTTGAAAATAACGATTGGGAAGAGCAGGGCAACAGTGCAAAATCAGAAAACTATGCAAAAATGCTGAGTGCAGAGCGTCATTCCTGATTTGAAACCCCTGAACTAGGGATCCCCATCACCCAAGGACCCCCCCCAGTAAGTTTTACAATGGAATAAGCCACAATAAACCCAGTTACTTCGGTTGGAATTGTTTTGGTGGCCCGTGGCAGCAAGAGACATTTTAAAAAGCCTTACAACTCAGGAAAGATTTTAAGATGTTTGAGTGCCTCCCATCCCCCAGCTATTCCACCTTAAAAAAAATGCTTTCTTAACGATCTTCAGAACAATAGGTGGCTATTTTACATTAAATTAAAAAGAAAATAAATATGCAATTTCCCTTCCTGCTTTCTTGTGAAGGTGGATAAGGCCAAGGAGGTCCCATTGAGGACATCCAGCCCCTTCCCTGAGCAGCCTGTCTCCATTTTTGTCAGGAAGAAGAATAATATGTAATAGCTACTTTTTAACTAAATTATTATGTCGTTTGTTCTATTGATTGTATTTTATAAATGGAAACCCCTTCCTTTCTCCCCCATGGCACTTTTTAACCAACTTCAATGACTCCTTATTTTTTTTCCTATGCATATTTATAATTAATTGAAAAATGTATATATGTAAAGAGTGGGGGGGGGAGGATTCTTTCCTTTTTGTTGTTGAACATGTGCCTTTTGACTAATGATTTCAGAATTTTCTACTTGCATCAGAAGGATTAAAATATTGGCATTTCAGTTTCAATGAAGGAAGAAATGAAAGATGCGTGCATCTACGTGCATGTGTGAGGTTGGGAAGGAAGGGGGGGATCCGTTAGGTATGCAGAGATTTCTGCAGATGGGGGTCAGACATGGAAGACCTACCTTGCATGCAAAAATAAATAGAGCAGTCAAAATGTTGGCATACCTAGAGTTTCTCAACTGATTCTATTTTTTTTTTTTCTTTAGTGGTACTTTGAACTTTTCAAATTCAAAACGCCCGTGTTTTGAGTTTGGAGCACTTTAGTAAGGACAAAACAACACACTTTAACCTCAGAATGTTTGAAGCGTAAGGTGTTTTGCAGTTGGATATTTTTTTTAAGTCAGAAATCCCTGGAAAAACATATGGTCAGGAAGGCTCATCTTTGCTAGCTCTTATTAAATCATTCAGTACGAATGTGCACTAGGGTTGATCTTGAAAAGGCATGCTGTACTTTTCCGGAATGAAGCATTTGGGGGTTCTGTACAAAAGGTTAGAAGAGAGGGGAAAAACCCATGCGTCATAGAGCAAACCACCTTGGTATACTTTTCTGTTTTGCTCACACATTTTTCATTCAGAATCTGTTGAGAAACATGTTATGATCTTGGCCTAAAAAGTATCCCATCCATGGTTTGGAGAGGCTGTAAAGTGCCCAGGGGCCTCCAGGATGGGCAGGCTGCTCAAGGATACGCAGCCAGGAGGGGTGGTATCAAGCTGGTCGACTTTCCGTATTATGAAGCTTTTGGGCTCATCAGGAGCCGCTCAAGGAGAAAAGCAGCCAGGCTGGGAATGGATTCCTCACAGTTGGCAGGTTTGCCTTGCTCTGGGTAGATCCGCTGCATCCCGCCACCCACAGCTGCTTTGCGAGATGGGCAGCTATAGAAATGTGATGTATAAATAAATAACTTCCAGCTGTCCCAGGCAGAGCCCAGCAAAGGGGAGTTAGAGGTTCAGTTCGTCAGCTGCACACCCCCATAAATGTCCAAGGCTCAGGAAGTGGACATGTGCATTTTTAAAAATTGCCCAGCGGGAACACACGCAAAGACGTAAATCAATCCGCTGAAATGAATGTTAAAGCTTTGGAGATAAGCTGTTCTTATCAGATGCTGTCATCACATTCCTTGCCTCCCTGAGCTGAAATGTGGTCTGAGCCACATAACATGGGTGGCATTTCCATGCTCCACATCAGCTGAGGGGAACCTCTCGTGGGGAGAGAGAAACAAAGGGTCAGTTGCTCCAATTCAGGGTAGGTGTAATTCAGGGTATGTTTTAAATCCCACTCAAAGTTGTGCCCACGGCTGCACCATTGGCCAGCGTGTGCCACAAGTTACTAACCCTTCAGCTCAAAGGTGTACTACTTAACTGAGATTGCAAAGAAATATAATGAACATCACTTAAGAGCGATTGCAAGCCTTTTGTCACTGAAGCAGGGGGGAGGTGCGTGTACCTCCCTTTTCAATGGTTTAGGAAGGAGCCAGAAGAGCTGCCCCCATTTTTGAAGAAGATCAGTTGTTCAAGCTGCTACAATTTTGCTTTAAGAGCCATCTTTTGACAAAGCAAAGGCGGGGGGGGGGGGGGGGGGTTGCTAAAAATTTTTGTGAAGATAAATAATCCCACCTACAATGCAAACTCTTGGGGTCATTCACCAGGGAGTTTCAGGAACAACAGAGTGACTTTCATCCAGCCTGGCATTTATTACATTCTCTGCTAGAACATGAGAATGGATGTTAGTTGGGGATGGTCCCAAGAGAAGACTAAATCAACTTCCAGCAAAGGACAGCTCATGTTAGCAAACCGTTGTGGCACCTCCACCTATGGGGTAGTCCTTATGGCCAAAATCCTGGGAAAAGGTCTTGCCCTTGTGGGCTGTCCCCAGATGTCCCAGAGGCATCTCTTTAGCGCAGTGTTTCTCAACTTCAGCCATGTTAAAGATGGGTGGACTTCAACTCCCAGAATTCCCCAGCCAGCATGGCTGGCTGGGGAATT